TTAATATCCTTTCATTGCCTTCAAAAAAGGCCAATAAACTTTTAGTGCAGGCTAAAAATTTCTCTAGATAATTCGAAAGAGCTTTCGCTTGCTGCAAGTTCGTTGCTGCCTGCAAAAGCTGCAAAAGCTGCACTGCATTGCTGCGGTTGCGGCTGCTGTTGTTCTTAATATTGCGTTTACTGATAAACGACCGGCAAACACGTTGAAAATTTGAAGCTGATTGTTTACCTGGGCAACCAACAATTTTTAGTTTTAGGGTGGCGAAAATTTTCCACGGATACAACAAATCAAAATGGAAATTTCTCAACAGCTGAGAGCAACAACAACAATAACATAACTAAGGGTTGCCTGCGTTTTGCCTGCACTTGAGTATAAATTGGTCCAATTGGATAACACAGTTGCGACCAGTTGGAAAGCAGCACGTGCGCGTGCTAAGGGAAAATCAATGTGGAAACAAGTGTGCGAAAATATCTATATTCACACATACATGCATATGTGTGCATGTGTATGTGCATATATATATTTATGCATGATTCACGCCCACGCATAGTGTGTGACGTAGGTGTGGACGAAAAAATTATTTATATGTAGTTAAAATTGATTTGTTCGTATTTTTTACTTACTCAACCGCAAAAAGAATTCGCTATTTCCTTACACACACCTCTTTGTTTAGACCAAAAAATAATTAAAAATGTTTCAAGCGCGCCATGGTGAACTATTTTTAGCCAAAAGATTTTAAAACTTAGTATCAACTGCCAACAATTATACACTTGGCTATTTTAATTATAAATTTTTATTTCTCTCTTTTGCTATTTTCTATTTATTTTATTTGGATGCGCAGACTTTGATTTCTTTTGCTTTCCGCTGTTGCCCTTCTTCTTCTTCTTCTGCTTCGTTTTTGGATTACCCCACCCCGCCTCGACAACTGCAATTTCTGGCAGCTGCTTTCGTTGCGTAAAAATCGTGCGTAGCCGAATATACTTTTGAACAATTATGTTTACAGGCCCTTGACTTGGCGATATACAAAATACACATACACGTCTTTAATGTTATTATATACAATTCTTTTGTCAAGAAATACGAACGCGAATTCTAACACGAGCGCAATGATTGATTCGGCACAAACGACAGAAACGTCAACGTTCCACGGAAAATTCACATTAACTGCTGATAGTGTTACCATACATCGAATTGCTTAAAATACCAGCAAAATCTTTGTAAATAGCAATGCTTATCGGCTAATGTGCGATGATATTGTGTACATATCGGTTATCCAACGTTCATCTCTAACAGCAATGTGTACACATTGTGTTTCTCACTGTTTTCTTCGCTGAGCTCCACCCTCACCGTTATTGGCAGTGAAGCGAAAAGAAAAAAAGATGAAAGAAAACATGTAAAATAATCGGAAAATTAAACAAAATCAGTTAAACTCATTAACCATTCATCACATACACACACCTAACCATCACCGCAACACCATAAACATGGATCACAATGAAATATCTATGTGCATGGACGTCAAATTGGATACACATGACAAGCGCGCCATTGCACTGCGCTACAAAACATGGACCAGATGTCTTGTCAAGATAGAGGCCATTAAATGTGTGCCCTGTTTCTTGCGCCTCAGCTTCCAGAGCCTGCCCGACGATGAGCCCCAGCAGCAGCAACAGAAGCTGTTGACCGTCTCGGTGAATGTGCCTGGCGTGAGCATCAGTATGGCCACCTCGCGCACCAAGCAGCATTCGTATGGGCTCTTCTGGACGCAGAATCGTCGTGATTGCTTCATCTATTTTGCTTTAGAAACGGAGACGGCCTGCCGCAGACACATGAAATGGATTAAAAAGTCCATCAAGAATCTGGAGCTATATAGACAGGTCTTCCTGGAGCAGCGCAGACTGAGTCGCGACACCAGGTGAGCATAGTTTATTAAAGAAGATAAAAAGTTAAAGTACTAAATAATCCCTTTAGTACTCAATCGGTTACAATTAACCCTTAATATTAATATCTATAATATAAATAATGTTCATCATCAAATTCTCTATTTTAGCGCCCAGAGAGCACTTGGCCCGCTGCCAAACGTGCCGGAATCCTTCTGCTTCGATCTGGATGCGAGTAGTTTCTCATTTTCTGCACGCGTCTCGCAGATCTATGAGGAAATCTTCGATGGCAGTCGCATTTCGCGTGCATCCATTGCTTCGGGCATCTATGAGGAAATGAATTTGGCATCCGGAGCAGTTGTGGAGACGCCGCCTGTATTGCCACCGCTGCCGGCGCATCGGAAACGCATTAACACATTCGAGCTGCAGCCGGGGGAGATACCGCGCTCCAGCACCAATCCAGAGTCGGAGCTGGCCAAGAAGAAGAAGTACAAGAACATGCTGGACAACTTCTTCGGGCAGAAGCGTCGCTCGGGCAGCGCCAGCGTCGGTGAGATGGAGCCGGCCAGCAGGGATCAGGTAGAGGAGCAACAGCAGCAGCAGGAGCGAGAACAGCAGGCGCTGGCCCTCTATGAGAATGCGCCCACACCGGAGGCAGCGCTGCCCACTGGCAAACGTATATCGGGAAATATGAGAAATGCCCATCGCAACAGCTTCTCCAGTCCAGATCTGTCCAAGCTCAACTTTTTGGACACCTTTGGCGAGGCATTGTCCAGCGACGAGCTGAACATCAGCCTGGAGGATTCGGCCATAGAGCACGAGTCGCGTCAAGTTCTCCTGGCCCAAATCGTGGCCGGCCAGCTAAGCCGTGCCGACTCGCTGGCCAGCCTGAATGTGTCCGAGCAGCTGCCTCAGAACTTCAATTTTTCTGCCTGCAATACGTCCACCATTAATCTGATTGGCGCCAATGGCGCCGTATCGCATGGCAAGCGCAATAAGAACGTGCTGGTGGAGGAGCTCAATGGCTACTGCGTGATGGCGCCAATTAAACAAAAGTTGGCAGGCAGCAGCGGAGCAGCACAGCTGGAGAAGAAACCCAGCGGCAGCACAGCATCCACCACGTCTGGCTATTCGACAGGTTCCTATAGTTCATCCACCAGCAGCTGCAACACGGATCAGGAGCAGGTGGCTAAGGCCACCAACGTTGCAGCTGCGCCCGCTCACAATGAGAGCGATATTTATGAATCGATGCATGTCACCTCGCTCAATAGCAACAGCAACAGCAACAG